TTTTAACACTCAAGCCATTGACCTCCTCACTTCTGAGGCGAGGGATTACTTCCTGCTGCCTTGCAGTTCACACTTAGTTGTGCGAAGGCTATAGGTGGGCTCTCGAAATAAAAAGCGCCGAGTGACGCTGGGAATGTCTCTCGTACCAAACTCCCAAACTCTATGATCTTCATCATGATCACGTCTGGAGCCGGCTGATCCCTTACAAGGAGCCAGCCGCAGTGAAGTAAAGTAAAGAACAACTTACCCGGATCTTCACTTAGTAGTGCAATGTCATCTGCATACTCTAGATCACACAGCCTGCCATCTGGGAGATGAAAGAAATTACCCTCGCATGAAGNTACGACAAAGTTGAATAGGAAAAGAGGGCAACCCTGACGAACACCGCTTTCGGTGGTGAACTCGGGGGAAAAGTGCCCCAAGCTTGTGATCGGCTGTTAGTATAAAATGATCGTAATATGAAACTTTTCGGGCACATTTTTCAGGAGAACGCAACGCCAGAGGTTAGAGCGGTCCACATGAACTGTGTACACAGGTAAAACCTTGTAAAATAGAGATATGGGAATGATCATAGAGATCTGAACACCATTGCGGAAAGCAAAACGCCGAAACCGTTTAATCTCAGTGTTTTTAGCAATACCTCATTCTGTCCACAACAGTTGACCACAGCATTATTTCTTCTTCGGATTGGCAGCAGCAAACAGAGCGTGGAGCGTCAGACTGCTAAGAAAATGCAGAACAAGTCCTAACCAGCATAGGTTACTCAAGATTCGTGATGTCTTTCAAACAGAACGCCTTCAACTTTTTAACCTCCTGGCGCTATATTAATTGAATACTTACAGTTGAAAGCGTTCAGCTCGTAGGTCAGAGATAGTATAGGCGGAATTAGTCTTGCGTCCAAACGTGCTTCAGGCAAGGGAAATCAACAAATCAACGGTTGAAAACGCCCGGATTGTTTATCTCAAACTCGTAGCATTAAAAAGGAAACGAGAGCAGTGACGCGATCAAGTCCAAACATGTGTTAACTGAAGCTCCGTGTGATTCTCCAGCAGAAGTTCGGTCTTGCATTCAAGATCCGAATCGAGGAAAGGACCGGATGGGCTCCTTCCCAGTCTCCTCAAGATGGGGGTGATAACCTCGTAAGTTCCGTTACTACCGTACTGTGCGATATTTAGACGCAAGAGCGCATTCATTCATCTTGGGGCAAATCACTAATCGTTCCCATTTTTAAAAAAGGCTCTCGCAACCACTGCGAAAACCACCACGAGATAAATTTGATCCCGATCGTCACCAAAGTGCTAGCCTCAGTCATACTTCGGCGTCTGACTACTTTAAGATGGACCAGCATCCGTGAACAGCTGGCTGGATCCCGGCCTGGCCGTGAATGTAATGATCACATTTTTACGTTGCGTCAGGTCCTGAAGCTGCGTCACACTCATCGCCGACCTGAAAGCAGCCGTCGACTCATTTGATCGCGAAGCTCTAATGGATTCCCATCTTCGAAAAGGAATGCCCCAGAAGTAGGTCAACTTACTGCGTTCACTGTACTCACATATCTCTGGTCGAGTGAGGGTTTACAACGAACTAAGTAAGCTGTTCGTCAAGGGTGCTTTATTTCACTATTCCTGTTCAATTTCGTCGTAGACGAAATACTGGAGACCACACTAAGTCTCATTATCATCGGGGGTGGGTGTATAAGGTTGCGGCTGATCACCCTGCCCATGCACCTCGCGAAATGCTCACATACGACCAAGCGTCTCGAATAGTCTCTGCTGAGGAATTCCTACTCACCGCCTTCTCGTGGCAGAGATGTTTTCCCACCAAAGTGAGAGGACGAAAATCCGACACCCGGGGCTAAAACCAGATTAGTTGACCACTGGCAGTTCACCTAGGGGAGTTGGCCAAAACCCTGATTCAAAACCAACCAAGAAGAGGTGTACGAAACATACACAACTTCCTGGTTGTGGAGGTGGTCACCGGCTCGATTGGGCACCGAGGTGTAATGGACTCCTTG